CCCCAAAACCCCAAAACCCCAAAACCCCAAAACCCCAAAACCCCAAAACCCCATTGAGACAGCTAAGGATTGGCAACTAAGATTTATTTAAAATCCAAAACTATATGGTCGTCGAACTCTTGAGAACAATGAGTGCACTTTCCTCTGATCTCTGCAAAGCAGAATCTGCACATTACTAAGTGGTTACATGGCAAAATAATGACGTCTCTTCTGGCTATAAGGTTGGATTTAAAAAGAGATAACTATAACGATACTTACATGCAAAGCAAATAGTGCAGAGTTGATCTTCAGGAATATTTTCGATGTCTATATTTAACCAAAAACATTACTTTGCTTGCCTTTCTCAAACTCAGCTCTCTTGCGTGCCTCTTCCTTATTCTTGCGATGCTTCAAGTAGAAATAAGCACCTACACCTGCGAGAATAGCAGTGACTGCAACTGCGACTCCAAATCCGATCTTGAAATCATCCTTTCTATCACGGAAGTAATAGAGTAAGTTTTGTTCTCCTCCGCTTGAGATCACTTCTGTTTTATCAAAGAACAGAGAGTCAGTTGCCTAAAGGTTATCATACCCTTACAAGATTATATTTAATGATGCCGGCAATTGTGACAATATCTCCTTCATAAATCACATTCTGGAAGTGATTGTATGTGAAGCTTTCTCCAGTGGCTGCAAGCGCTACTGTGCCAACCAAGAGCTCTCTGATGTAGTTGGAATTATTTCCAATTTCAGCTCTTGGAGCATAAAGCTCAGCATGGTTTCCGTCCATGTTGAAGATCATTTCTTTGTTTGCATAATCAAGCAGGAAGAAAGGATGGCACACTTTTCGAGTAATCTCGTATTTAAGGTTAACTGAAGTACGAGTTACGTCTATTTCATCTCTCAAAATCAGCTTAGTTGGGGAATCGAGCATGTTGGTTATCTCATTGTTCTTTGGATTAGAAGTGACCAAGAACGATGGAGGTTCGATTTCAAGTATCTTGAGCGGATCCTTCCTTGCTTCCTTTATCCTAAACAATTAACCCTGTGCTCAAAGTCTGAACCACTTACATTTTAGGGGACACTGCAATTCCAGTGATGTAGGACATTTTTCCTTCATTTTTGAACTGCTCAGCTAGCTCAGGATCTTTTAACTTGTTTCTAATATCCCCTGGTGCTTCAGTAGATTGCTCTGCAATCTCATTTTCGTACTCATGGTATTGTCTATGGTTAGTGGACTCTTACTTGAGTTTGGAGTAAAGGTAAGAACTAATACAGCCTGTAATAACTGCACAAGAAAAGTAACAGATGGCTTGGGTTTGATCGCTCATTTTATATGATATAATCTTTCAAAATTATTTTCTTATTATGGGGTTTTGGGGTTTTGGGGTTTTGGGGTTTTGGGG